TGTTGTGCATTAAAAAGTTTCTACTAGCTTACAAATGATCCGTATCATATCATAAATCATGATGTGTTATCATGGTGTGTACTTAACATAGAGAATTTTTGAGAGGAAATAACAGGAGAAGCAAACACAATATCATGATCTACCTTCAATATGTGCTTCAGGGACTATTTTGAGTAGAGCAGCTTTTTTGTTTTTTGTTTAACCAGACAGACGTATTAGAAAAAGACTTCAGTTGAGTAGCATTTTCAGTAAGACCATTAGCAAGATTTAAAAGGGGAGGCCATATACTAGGTATCTGCAGAATCATTTAAGTTAGATTTAAAACTTTAAAAGATGTTCAGTGTCACAGTAAGGTTATAAAACAAATTTTTTTTCATTTTCATTTTTTTATTTTCAAGATCTTTGAAACCTTATTAACCTCATTACTACCCAAACACAACATTCAATCATAAACTAATGACTGTTGTTTTTCTACAGTAATTGTATGTCTGTAAGGCAAGACCGTCTGTCTACACAGGATGCATTACAGCTTAGGAAATACAGTCTGAAATACTGTCTCTCGCCTGCCTAACAGAACTGATATGCTTCCATTTTAATCAATATACCTGTCTACACAGGCTGCTTAATGACTCACATTTCACTCTGGTTTACATGCATACCCACAACCCCAAGCGTCTAACTTCAGTGATTGTGTATTGGGCACTAAGTGCTGCCAAAACATGGTTGACCACACTGCAGTGCATCCAGTTTAGACACTGACAGAGGACTGGAGCTGCTGTGTGTAGACACAGTGTTATAATGCTTGCAAATTAATTGCATCTATTCATACTGTTACAGCTTCAAAGATTTTTTTAATTGTTCTTGCATGCACAAGCAATTCCACTGTTTACAACTGGACGGGCACAAAATCAACTAGTCAGTTCTAACTTAACACTGAGTCTCTAGCATGGCTTCCAAATAGAACAGCAGCTCATCAATAGAGCCATCAAACTTAATTTAAAACAACTAGTTAATGTTAGAGAGAAGCATTGAGATTTCACATGCCACCAGAGGAAAAGCACGGATATAAATAATGAAATGAATGATGGCTGAAAATCAATTTAGCTGCTTGGTTTCAGTGTCCTGGTATTGTTTATGCTGGCCTAGTGTCACACTGTCATGGCTTATTAGGACACTTAAATAGAACAAAGCCATCATTTATGTTATTAGAAACATCTGTGCTTTTCCTACAATGAAACATCAAGATGTCTGCTGTGAAAAAGGTTACTGTTATAAGTATAGCTAGTCATGGTACAAAATGTTTGCTTTTGTGTGGATCAAGAGTTTCTGTATTTAAGTGCAATTTTCGTACCATTTAATGTGGAGCAGCAGGCTCTTATGAGTCTCAAATATCAGATCTTCCAATTAGCACGTGAATATGCCGGACGAGCAGATTTTTCAGACAGATCAGATCACCATTCACTGATAATGCAACTTTAAAAAAAAAAAAAAAAAAAAAATCCTGCATGTAATATGGTGTTAGTGCATACTTTTCAGTAAATTAAGAATAAAAATGACTGATGTTCTAGTTTAACTTTCTGATTTTAAGATATTAAAAAGTCATTATAGAGTCCCACAGGACTTCAGTCTTGCTGCAGCCCTCTATCCTCATGCCTAAAACACACATCAACCAAGATAAGCAACATTACTTGTCACTCATGCAGTGCCTACATGATGAGCCCTGCTCATGGTACGACAAAGCACGGATACCCCATATGGAAATTTGGAATTACCAAAAAGGTACAGTAAATAGCCTCATATACATCATAATTAAATGTTTTGGTTGTCATAAAACCCTTCCACTAACCCAACAATTGCTTTCTCACCATCTGCCTTACTTATTGGCCTACCAACTACATGCTGGTCTGGTGGGACCTGAGTTTCAGGGCTTCATAAGCCTCAAGGCTTTACAGACAACATAAAGAGGTACCTGATGAGCAACAGATGCTTTTACACTGTTTTTAAGTGATACAATTTTCCCAGGTATTTGTGAAAATACATAGTCATCAGAAGTTGAAATGCCAACACAAGCCCTTCACTTTATTCCTACATATTGTGCACAAGTATTCACAGAAGGGACATAGGATGTCAAAAACAAAGTACTAGATCAGAGTGAGTCTGTGGATGGGTTTATCTGAGTTGATGTTGCTCAGTAATGGATCCACTGGCATAAGATGATCTGCAGTTTGTAAAAAGCACAATAAGGGCATACAGCCCCTGGCATCATGATTTTAGTGTTGCTGTAATTGACACGAGCACAGAGTCTACATTTGAGAAATTATCCTTGATTCCATTTTAGCTAGATTTTAGTTGTTCATAAATGACAAAATAGCAATTAGTTAAAGTTAAGATAGAATTTAAGGGTTTAAACTTATTTTTTAAAACTTTTTTTCATTAATTAAATGACAGAAGGTAGTATACGGCCGTTTATAGCTGAAACAAACATATCTCTGTTGGGAAATTGGGAAAAAAGTCATTATCTATTCCACATTTTGCTTACTATTTTCCCATTAAACATTATTTATTAAAGAACGTATGTATGAACGCAGTCCTTCAGTCTTGACATATCTGGAGAGGAATTCCCTTTCATGACCATTTCTTTATTCCCCATTACCTGCCACCTCCTTTAACACTACATACTTACTTTTATAGCTTTGATTCCAGACTTGGTGATCTGAGTCATCTTGGCCTTGGAGATGGGCGGCTTGTACTCATTCAATGAGTACAGCTGAAACATGAAATGGGACAAGAGAAGATCTTTTGTCACACAATGTGTTAAAACGTACTACAATACTAACAGACATTTATTCAACTACTATATAAACAAGCAGTACTCCTGAGCATCCTCCATTCTTGTTTGCAAGCTTTGTTCACCATTTGCAAAACGGTCATTGTGGGTATGTTAGTGGTCAGGGAGCCACCAAGTTCGTAATGAAAGGATGTAGAGGGTAACCTCCGATTAATTAGTTTGATACACTCATTAAAACAAAATAACCACTAATTGCTGCCAACTGTAGAATGTAATTCATGTTAGATTCTAACTGAGTGGATAGTGAGGCCAGCACAGACTGATTGTACCAAAGGACAGACAGGATTTGGTGTCACTGCAGACAAATGATGGTTGCGCTACTAACTGCGATAGCTAGCCGTTAACCGAGCATTCTGAATATGCTAGGTTATCTCACACCATCTACATGCTGTGAAACTCTAGACCAGGAAGCTAACGCTAAATCAGCCAGACTTCAATTATATAATTGCAATATTTATCAGGAAAACGGCAGTGAGATAGGGGCATTTCCCCCACGCCCGTGCTGGTTAGCTACCATACCAAGTTATCACGCAACTGAGGCGGTTTTGCTAACTTGTTAGCTTGCTAGTTACGGTTAGTTTAGCACCAGGCTAAGGAAAATATTTACACATAGACTACCAACTTAACGCGGTGTGCGTTAACATATTATTGTCTTTGCTTTAGTCTGGACAATTCGCATGAATTGGACTGAACGACGTAATCGCTGTATTGTTGTGAACAGACAGCGGCCTTGTCCGAGACTGGCCCCCCTCTCCTTTCTGCTACTGGATGCTAACGTTGGCTAACTCGCACCCGTAAATGTGAATTAGACAAGATTTTCTACTGTCACTGGTCAATATTCTGTAAAGGTTTCACACAAACCTCATTGTTAAATGCTTTGACGGCCTCCATGATGTTGTCTTTAGGCTCGCAGGTGGCTGTAAATATTTACAGATATCTCCTCAGTAACCGGTTCAGACATGCATGCTCGACGTTTGGTGAGATGGAGGAGACTGCCAATATGGCGCATATAACCTCAACGGGAAATCTGCAGCGGGACCGGCGACTCCTAGCGTCAATTTCGGGACACTACAATTTCTACTAAACAATCCCCTCTGCTATTTTTCCTATTAAAGTACACAGTGCTTTCAGAGGCCTTCTATTTTCACATTTTATGTTGCAGCCTTATGCTTAAAAAAAAAAGAAAAAAAAAAAAAAGAAAATTTCTCCTCACACTCAATACCCCACGAAGACAAAGCAAAAACATTAGATTTTTTTTTTGCAATTTTATTTAAAAAACAAAACAAAAAACCCCCCCCCAGAAATATCACATTGACATAAGAATTCAGATCCTCTACTTAGTACTTAGTTGAAGCACCTTTGGTAGTGATTAAAGCCTTGATTTTTTTGGTGTTGCACAGCAAGCTTTGTACACCTGGATTTGGGGATTTTCTACCAGTCTTCTCTGTAGCTCTTCTGTCAGGTGGGATGGGGACTCTGTGGGCATCCATTATCAGGCCTCTCCAGAGATGTTGGATTGAGTTCAGGCTGGGCCACTAAAGGACATTCACAGAGTTGTTCCTAAGGCACCTCTTTGTTGTCTTGGCTGTGTACTTAGGGTCATTGTCCTGTTAGAGGGTGAACATTCAGCTCAGTCTGCAGTCCTGAGCCCTCTGGACCAGGTTTTCATTAAGGATATCTCTATACTTTGCTCTGTTCAGCTTTCCTGCAGACATGAGTCTCCAAAATGTTTTGAAGCCTTCCCGGATCTGTGCCTTGATACAATCCTGTTGCTGAGCTCTGCAGGAAGTTCCCTTCTCCTTCTGGCTTGGTTTTTGCTCTGATATGGATTGAGACCTTACATAGACAGGTGTGTGTCAATTCCAAATCATGTCCAATCAGCTTTACAACAGGTGACTCCAATCAAGGTGTAGAAACCTCAGAGAAAATCAAGAGAAATGGGAGACACCTGAGCTAAATATCTTGTGTCATAGGAAAGGGTCTAAATACTTATCTCAGTGTGATATTTCAGTTTTTCCTTTTTAATAAAAAAATTCTTAGCTTCTATTTTTGCATTCTCATTACGAGGTAGTGAGTGTAGATTGATGAGGGAAAAACTAATTTAAATGATTTTTGACCACATGAATCAAAATTAAACCAAAATGGGAAAAAGTTAAATCATTTAACACTTTATTTCCCTATATACAAGCAATCACACTCACTTTCATACCAGAAGAGATCAAAGAGAATTAACATCACACATCCATTTACAACTATTTACGCATAGTTTATTCAACACGCACAACAGATGAATTCAGAAAAAAAATGCATCTTTGTGCCTTGAGCTTGGTTGGGTCACTACCAGTAGGTCTGTCAGGACCCTTCTCGTGACCTGAGCTTCTTGTTGCTCTCTGGAGGTGTGGCTGGGCACAGTCACGTAATGCCTGATGTATATAACTGTATGACCTCCTACTCATCTGCTTATGTTGTACTGGTACAGGGTTTGGGTTTGCTGGCCCAATTTCAGTTTTTTTCCTGAGAATTGTCTACCATGCATCCTATGTTTACATGCAAATGATTGTACTAAATCCTGTCTCAAGTCCAATGACACTGGTTACTAATAAAGTATTTATCACATTTGTAATAAAATATATATGAAGTTTTCTGTTGCTGTCAATGTTTGTTGTTTGTCATTATGGTTGGAATTCTTCATTTGAAACAGTTTGTTTTGGTTTAGTAGAACACAAAACCACACAGCCTACTGCTGAAATTGATCTTTTTGGTCTGGGAAGTCTTAATGTTAAGTGTGGTGATGTAATTTCTGGGGCGAACAACATGCACAAATCATTTCCAACAAGTTCTGTGAAATGCAAGTGTAACAGGCAGTGATGGTGCATGGCACCAATAAGAGATTGAAAACAGATAAAAAAATTTGTTCACTACTGATGAAATCAAAAAAGATAAAACATGTTGTAAAAACAAGTGTTTTCCATGCAGAGAACAATGGATCTATTATTTCAACATACTCCATCATTCCACATTTTAAAACAATTTATGCATAGGTTCACAGAATTACATAATAAAAACAAACAGTAAAAGTAATACTAAAACACGTTTCACATTTTAATGTGACCTCCTATTCATATACTGTCTGCGTCATCTCCATTTAGGAACTAAAAACACTCATCTTCACTGATCCAGTTAGTTGTTGAATAGCACTTAGAGTCCGCTGTCATGGAAAAGTAGTCTCAAATGAAAACATCAGTATGTGTGTGTGTGTATCCAAAGTATGTGAGGGTGACGTCCTCAGAGTCCAGACATAGTACAAAAACAGTCATGAGGAGTCTTTATAAACTGGTCTCCACTACTGGAGCAGCACTGACTGATGCTGCAGCTTTTGTGGCCTCTGATGCCACCTGCTGGTCCTTTCTGACACAGATTTCCTGCACCAAGGGCGCATTGGCCTCCTTCCATTCTCTGAATTTGTGTGAAGTAAGCTCCCGGTCCAACAGCACCTGTTCTATTGCCTGTAGGTCCGCTTCTTTTGACTGAGACAGAAAAGAAAAACAAAAAGACCATGAGAAAAATGAAATAATGGCATAAAGTACTCCCAATTCTAAAAAATCTACATTGTTTTGCATTGTATTGCAATTCAAGCAGGGGAAAAACAGACTTTGAAAACAGAAAATATACCTTTAATGTGCTGTTGAGTGCCCTGATAAGGTGCAGTTTATCATTGAGGGTATGGTTTTTACAGCGTTTTATGAAGGACGCCCTGAATTCCCTTTTTGTGGATGGTTTACGATCTCCTATTGGCGATAGGCTGGCCTCTTTTAGATGATTATACAGCGTCTCCATCTCATCTGAGCTCTTCCCACGATTCCCTGAAACAAGATAAGGTTTCACTGTATCACCACCACACACATCACAAAGCTTACACTGAGTCAAAGACAACGCAAAATGCAGTTACATGACATACAGATCAACAATATATTAGTGCTGCTTAATGGAACAAAGTCAGGTCACAGATGAAGAAGATAGGGAACAAACTATATTACAAAATCTGAAACAACAAAAATATGCCAGCAAATACATTACCAACATATCTTACTCTGAGAACAGATGTTATCCAGAGTTGTGAGAAACAGGACATGCCCTCTACTAGCATGTTTTCTTACAACTAAAAATGAAACCTAAAACAGCAGAAATCTGAATTACAATCTCTTTGCTCAACAAACAGAAGAGACTGAATCAAAAGTTTAAGGCAAGACAATAAGGTTAGTTTTTAAAGTATAAAGGTCACAAAACCACAACTGAATTTAAGGAGTAAAACAAAGTCTCACCTTCATCTTGAGCATCTAAAGCACCCCTCTGTGCCTCCCCCTCTGCAGCGGGGCTTTCCTCATTAGACCCTGTTCCTGAAGAGCCCTGGGGAGCTGAGCTCTCCAACACCTGGGAGTCTTCCTCCTCCTCTTCTGTCTCCTCTTGTGGAGGTTGATGTGAGTGTACTTGAGCTGAGCACACCACTGCTGTTTCCCCAGCAGCAGGAGACGCCTGCGAGACCAGGTCCAACCAGGACTGCCGGTGCTTGGAGAGCGAGGAGGCGGAGCCCTGCGATGTCATCGTACTGACGGGTGAGGAGAGTGAACCGTTGACTTCGCTGGGGACTGTGGAGGAGTAAGGTGGAGGAAGGGTACCCTGAAAGACAAATACTCCACGGTCAGATGTAATAATCTATTGTAAAGTAAACAGGGTTTTGTTCAGTTGAAAACAGCAGTTTTATTACAGTTGGAAAGAAAGAAATTATGTGCATTTTTTTTCTTTTTTTTTTTTTATGATGTGCATTTTAATACACAATTTCCCACTGAACCACAATAAACACACTATGAGAAATTAATCCAGTAGCTCCAATGTTTGGTGAATGGCAGGCTCCTATAGTTGTGACTGATGGTGTGGTGTTGACTGTTTGTAGCCAGAGACATGACTGACCTGATGTGTGCTACCAAGCGGTGCAGATGCATCCACAGAGTCCCGCAGAGTCTGTTCAGAGTATGGTGGAGGGGGAATCTCCGTGCTTTCAGTCTCTTCATGGTCGCTGGCTTCACTATAACACTCTAAATAACCAAATGTGTGTGTTGGGAGGTGGGGGTGATGGGACAACACACACAAGATTAGAAACCAAATGCATGAATCCAGAGGAAATTCCATTCATTTTTTCTTATTTTGGCTCTAAAATAACCAGAAAAGTTCTGTACTGTTGTTGATTGAAAACTTTTTAAGACATCCAAGTTTTTCATTTGGATGTGTTAAGTTAACTTGTACATAATATTTTGAGCTAAGAAAATTCTCAAAGCTCTCAGGAATCCATTTCCTGAGAAAACCAAGAAAAAAAAAATCTATTTCAAGATCAAGTGAGTAACATCAAAAAAGCATTTTTGTCACACTAAAATCAAGACATCTTAAAGGAAGAGGGTTTTCATCCAACAACAGTGACAGGTAACAAAAAAAAAACTGATTGTCATGAGTGCTCACCGGCTGCAGGGTTTTGTTCTGTTGGCTCATACTGAATGGAGGCTAGGCCAAGCTTATTCAGCCATCTGAAAAAAAAAAAAAATCAACTCAATAATGTCTCTGACAAAACAAGAGAATGAATAAATAAGATTAGATCAAAACATAGTATATGGCTGGACTGGTCAATGTGCACAATTGAGGATGTAGTTGAAACCTGGTTTGGAACTGCTGTAAACAACTGACGTCATCGTGTCCTATTTGCACCCTGCCTGACGTCAGCTGGTTTCAACCTGTTTGCTCCTCTCCAACTCTCTGTGCTCACATACAGTATTATAAAACACTCCAATTTCCAACAAAGCTCATTTACATGTTTTCTGTTTCTGTTGTCAGACAAGAGAACAAGTTTGCAATGCATGAAATGCAGCCCATTAAGCTACATTTTAACTTGAAAGCCATTTCCAAATTGCTGCTCTGCAACTCTCTAGAATCCTGAACTGTGATGCTGTCAGAAAGTTGGAGGTGACATAGAATTTTTCTTATTTAGTCTCTCATTCCGCACACAGCCTCTGTCTGGGTAACAAACTGCTGCTCCACCTCTCTGCCACTCTCTGAAGAGAATAGACATGAGAGAGGGAAGTACTGGCAACTCTTTGCTAAGTAGCCAAGGTTTGTCCAAAAGTCTAGCAACAAATGCGCTAATTTGGCAACAGACCGTAAACAACCCCATGATAGAAACTGTTTATGCCAATTCATTTTGAAAGAGCAAACAGCCAATGGAGGAACTCCAAATCAGTCACATGGCATTCAGCTGAGCAACGGTGAAACTCTGATTACTCAACTCTATCACTCAGTCAGTCAGTCAGTCACGGACATTGTGCTGTAGTCCAGCCAAAAAAAAACAAAAAAAGACAAAGACAAAAAAAACACACACATACACACTTACAAAAATACAAAAATACAAACAATGCTGTACTGTTATGTGACTTACACGGTCATCTCCTCGTGGCTTTCCGCAGCAAAATAAAACATCATGACTTGTGGGTGGCAGGCTTTAAATGCACTACAAGAGGAAAAATAAATGGAGAGCAGTTAAGACAGGATCAGACAGAAGACAGTAACAGTTTGAGTTAAACTCTACATTTATTCCACTTCAATGATCATTTCGAGATTGTTTTAGTACTATACACTGCTTATGGGACCACGTTCTGTCATTTTGATCCAACAATAGATATACAGTCCAATTAGAAAGTATTCACATTTTGTGTTGTTGCAGCCCTATGATAAAACTGTTTAAATAAAATTTTCCCCTCACAAATCTAAACCAATAACCCATGATGACAAAGCAAAAACAGAATTTTAGAAATTTTGCAACTTTTTAATAAGGTTAAAACTGAATTCACATTGACAAAAGAATTCAAATCTTTTCCTTATTTGAAGCACCTTTGGCAGCGATTACAGTCAAGAAGAATGGGGACTGTCAGTGCACAGCCATTTTCAGGTCTTTCTAGAGATGTTGGATTGGGTGTAAGTCAGGGCTCTGGGCCACTCAAGGACATACACAGAGTTGGTCCACAGCCACTGCTGCATTGTCTTGGCTGTGGGCTCAGGGTCATTGTCCTGCTGGAGAGTGAACCTTCGGCCCAGTCTGAGGTCCTGTGCACTCTGGACCAGGTTGTCATTAAGGATATCTCTGTACTTTGCTCTGTTCAGCTATCCCTCAACCCCGACAGTCTCCCTGTCCATGCGGCTGAAAACAACCTCAAAGCATGATGCTGCCACCACCATGCTTCACCATTGGGATGGTATTGGGCAGGTGATGAGTAGTGCCTGCTTTTCTTCAGACATGACACTCCAGGCTGAGAGCAAACAATTCAATCTTGGTTTCATCATTCCAGAGAATCTTGCAGCTTTCATGGGTCTTTCACCGAGGACAGGCTTCTCTCTGGCCACTCTGCCATGAAGCCCTGACTGGTGGAGGGCTGCAGTGTTGGTTGTCCTTCTGGAGGTTTCCCCCAGATCTCTGGAGCTCAGCCAGAGTGACCATTGGATGTTTGGTCACCTATATTACCAAGGCCATTCTCTCCAGTTGATCAGTTTGGCCGAGCAGCCAGCTCTAGAAAGAGCCCTGGTTGTTCCGAACTTCTTCCATTTAAGAATTATGGAGGCCACTGTGCTCTTGGGATCCTTCAATGCAGTAAAAAAATTTGTAGCCTTCTCCAGATCTGAGCCTCGATACAATCCTGTCTCTGAGCTCTTCAGGCAGTTCCTTCCTTCTTCATGGCTTGGTTTTTGCTCTCTACACACTCTCAGCTGTGAGACCTTATATAGACAGGTGTATGTATTTCCAAATCAAGTCCAGTCAATTGAATTTATCAAAGGTGGACTCCAATCAAAGTGTAGAAACATCTCAAAAATGATGAAGAGAAATCAGAGGCACCCGAGCTCAATTTCAAGTGTCGTCGCAAAGGGTCTGAATACTTACAGTTTTAACTTTTTAATACATAGAAACATTTCTAAAATTTTGCTTTTGCTTTATTATTATAAACCACATGAGTATAACTGACTGTAGATTGATGAGCGGAAATTGAAATTAAATGATTTAAGCACAAGGCTGCAGCATAACAAATGTGAAACAAGTGAAGGGATCCGAGTATGGTTCTTTTTTAATCCAAACCACAAGTAGTGGGCGGTATACAGAATCTGATTCATTAAACCAGGAACCATGAACAGAGGAGAGTATAACTATGAGCTTACTGTTTCTTCTTGCACTCTATGGCTCTATCGATCATGAAGTTGGTGAGGTCAATGTAGCCCTCGGCTTTTTCTGCCTGCAACACACAGATTGAACAACAGTTAGCGTTAAAGCAAAAATGATGACTTCAAACCACTTCCTGACAATGACACCTGCCGTTATATTGCAGCAGGCTACTTCTTCTATTTTCTCACACCATGTGATGGTGACATACAGTAGATCTGACTGAAGTCATCATCATACCAGTAAATCAAACATGTCAGTATGCCTGTATCAGGGCCTGATGGGCTATTAGTGACACTGTCACCGTCAGGAAACACAATGACAAGGCTTGGTGGTTCCTGCAGTGACAGGCTGACAGGGAGACAGCTGTGGCAAAAATAAGTATGATTTATGTGCAGCCCACCACTGCCTCACACTGCATCTGCGTTACTCGTGCGATGTGTTAAATTCAAATGAATCACTGCAGCACTTCAAAAGACATGTCAACAAAGTGCACCGTTACAGACTGTGTGCTAATTTTCATTTTGAATGTGAGGAAATGTAGTTTTTAATTTTTTCAAAGCCAAATTTCTTTCTGTCTTTCTTTCTTTCTTTCTTTCTTTGTAAAACTTGTGGAAGAGAAAAATAATTCCTCTAGTAGATATAATCACCCTTTTCTGTATTTTTCACGATGTTCAGACTGAGATGTTGAGATCAGTTACTGTCTACTTTGTGGATTTTTTAAAAGTTATTGACAATTAAACATTGTTTATGCTGTTTTAATTTCTGAACCTTTACATACTACCAGTGTAGTTCAGCAGTAGCTTAATGGATATGTCTGGTGCATTTTTCATATTGTCAACAAATCCCATAAAAAGACCATAACCAAGAAGGAATTGACCCCCTGATAGTAATATTGTGGTCGTACAGCCAAGGCCTCCTAAAGCATATTCCTCTGTGCCATAGAGCTCCACACACATGTTGCACTCACTCACATTTCTCCATGATGACAAACATGGGCAATGTAGTTTATGTAGAGTCAATATCACATGCACTTGCTGCTGAAAAAACTCCCCAACAAGCACAACAATTTTTACTCTTGTTTGAGTAATGTCTGCTAAAACCTATAGTTGTCAGCTATTTAGCATTTATTATTATTATTATTTAAAGTATATTTTCATGACTTAGTTTTCTAGATTTTTATCTTCAGTACGAACCACTTAGCTTAAGTCTAAGAGCTACAGACAAGCTGAGGAAAATCAGAAAGTATAGACAGAAAGAAGAAAGAAAATCACCATCATTGCATCAAATTGTTAAACAATATGTCATTTTATCATTTAAATATATGTTTTTAGTGATTTGCTTGTTGTTATTGCTTTTTTTCAGAATTACTATATTTACACTGTAAACCTTAAATAATCTTAATGAGGTGAAACTAATTTGAATTTGAGAGAGCAAGGGGAGAGCTACAGAGAAAGGGTAGTGGGGACAAGTGGGTGGGGGCAGAGAGAGAGAGAGAGAGAGAGAGAGAGAGAGAGAGAGAGAGAGAGAGAGAGGCCACCTCACATGCACAGCTCGGACAGTGGTTAAACATGTCTAAATCATGAATGGGTCACCTAAGGAAATGGTAGTTTAGAAAAAATACTCACCAGATGGTTGCTGTACCAGTAGAGAGCTGTCTTCTTCAGCACAAACCAATATTTCTTCCATTTGATACCCAGGAAGCCTTTGCTCTCTTTCTTCCTGTACAGCCAGCCCTGGTGGTCTGGCTGACCCAGCTCTTTGACCGAGACTCGTCTTCTGCTCATCGTACCATTGCCTACGCACAAAAAGCACACATGCACATGAATGCACAGAGACCTCCTCCCCTCTGTCCACAGAGAAGCAAAGCCACAGAAAAGTAAAGCTCAAGCAAGAAGTCTGAAATCCTACCACAAAAAACAAAAAAAAATCCATTTGAGTCCAAATAGGCCACTGCATTTGGTCAATAACCAAATGAGCCCTAAAAATAAAATTGAACAAACCCACACAAAACCAGGAACAGTCGGTTCAGAAGTTGTGCTACATTCAGCCTACCTATTCTCGTTATCAATGTCGGCAATTACAATATCAACACAAAAATTCAAGTTAGCTTCCCAGAAGAACCAAGCCAGTGCCACACAGAGCTAAAATAGATGAGAGCTGAAGTGAAACTAGCCAAGCGTTGCCTAAAAGCCCTCTGTACATGCTAATTGCCCTGCCACTTCACACACGCCCACACAGGGGACAAATTATAGTTGCAGGCACACACACAAAGACAAATTGATGGGTTGCTCACGGGTGAAAACTTACCTCCTCGGCTCTTCTTCTTGGATTTGTGTCGGAGGGAGACCTTTGGAAGAAGGGCAGAGGATGTCAACGTGAGGTCAGAGTGTCACAGGCAGCAGAGAAGAAGAACACAATGGCTGTTTCAGGGCCCTGAACCGAAACGAGGAGGCTGTCTGGAACATCCTGTTTCTTACACTAAGTGTCACATGCATTTTCTCTTTGCTGTTCTCTCTATCTCACTACTGATACAGATATTAACACACTCCTCTCTAACATCCTCATCTGAGCCTTTTGGTCTTGTGCTTTATCTCTTTTTGCTCTTAATACTTTTTACTTCCTTGTGAATTAAGCTTAAAAAAAGAAAGAAAGAAAAGAGAGAGAGAGACCAAACTAGATTTATGGCAAGCTATTCACCTGTTGACGTATAATTCCTTGTTGCTATAAATATTTAACTTTGTCACCATAAAATAACAGAAGCAGAAGTATTTCTACCATTAGTAAGAGAGTGGAGTTTCTGTTTCATTAACAGCAAGAACAAGTCAACCTCTGATTCTGAAGTAAATGTCATACATACAAAAAAAAACAAGAAAAAAAAAAAAAACAGAAAAAACACTTACTGGGTTGTAGTCATCAGCAGCCATAGATGGGGAGACAGATATGGGGAAGGCAGCCTATTGAAAGAAACCAGAAGACACAACTTATTCACAGAACAGATGTGTGGGTTGACACTATTACTACCCACAGATAAATGGGCAGAAAATTAACAATTTGCTGCTCCAGCATGACAAGAGGAAGTGACGTCATGGGCAGACAGTACAGACAATGTTTCTCAATATAATTTTTTTTTCTTTTCTGAAGTGAAGGAAACATAAATGTGAATTGAAAGCAAGAAGAAAAAGCTGAATTTCTCCTTCTATGGAACTGAAAGCTGTGTCAGAAGTAAAGGTTTAAAATTTATAAAGTTAATTCTGATGAACAGCACTGACTCACAGCTGAAGAACCATAATGATCACTGTCAGCAGTTTCATCTAGCCCATGACACACATTGCAAGCACCTAGAAAGTCTGAGACCACTTTGGTAAGCTTTTGGAGCCATTTAGATACCACTGTATCTAAGTAAGGTTGATATGATTCTGCTGCAGTTATCACATCTTGAAAAATGCTTTTTTAGCAGCACATAGAATAAAAAAAAAAAAAGTGAAACATTTTATACTGTGCATCCTATATGAATGGTGACACAAAAGATATTGAGAAATCAAAGTTGCCATTATTGACTAACTTCCTCTGCGTACTTTGAGTTCCTTATTTGAAACATGACAAAGCTTCCTGAGACACAGAGAAAATATCACTGACAAGCTAACACTATACCACACATTCAACAATTTGCCACCGTTAAAAGGCCTATCCGGATACAATACAACGAAAACCACAGAAAAGCGGTCTCAACCAATCCATTACCCTTCTTTGTGGATTAGAGATATTAAAAAGAGGCTGCCTTTCATACAACCTTGACATTACACCTTGTCAGATCAAGTGCTACACAAGGAAAAAAAAAACCAAAGGAAAAGGAAAAAGCACAGGTGGTGGTCGAGTCACAGGGTCCTCAGTTCAACTCCTGCTGCAGTTGTTCGCATTCAATCACTCACTATAAACTCAATCTACAAAAATCCCCAGTGAGAACAGGAAAAGAGATTCATACCTGGTTCTGTAAAACTTTACAGATTCACCTCGAATCCACACACCTCAGCTGAGTATCCTCTGTGACTCTAAAAACTCACACAATGACAGCAAATGGCTCTTATCTAAGCGAAACTTGTCTGTGTGTGTGTGTGTCTCTGTCTTGCACAACACAAATGCATCATAACTTATTTTCCGGATGTTTGAATGAACTGGCTGCCTTTGGTAGCTAGATGTTGATCGCCACATAAACCACAGCAGAAGCGTGACGGGGATGGTGCATGTGTGTTTATGAGCTAACTTCCTGCTGGATTTTTTTTTTGTAGACATTGACAGTAACGTGAATTTCAGGTCTGAGATCCACCTTGAACTAACAAATGTGCAGATTTACTTGTGTTCTTTGATAATAAAAAAAAAAAATTATCTTACACTAGCTGTCAGTGTAGGTAGCAGCTATCTGCTAACCGCATACTATCAGTATATTATCTGTCTGTGTATTCTTTTTTGCGAAGACAATTAAATGTACAGTAGCTCTTCAGAGGGACGTAAAAATTAAAGCATAACAAGTTGGTTGTGCATGTGAAATAAAAATATACATAAGTCTTAGAATCTATACAAAAAGCAAATAGAGAAATAAAAGCTAAACCCTACAGTAATGCATCATGCAAACTCAAAATATATGTAAAAAGTGTGTTTTTGTGCAAGTGCAAGACAGCAAATCTACATTGCATTGTAGTTTCCTTTAACCCTAACCACACAATGTAAACCTAAAACACATTTTTTAAAGTTCATATTCCTGAGATATACAAATAACCTGTAATTTAACCAATGGCACTGCACTTTAAATGAATGTCATCAACACAAATACAATTTTAAGTGTTTATGAAAGTGAAAGAATCTTTAAAAATATCATGAAGTCTGGCCTGTAACGTTTACTTTAGTCCCATGTTAAATTGAGCCTGTCTGCTTGTGGTCTGGTAGCTAAGCTAGCCAAACACGACACCTGCGGACACAATAATCACTATGAGATAGTTTTAACAGAAATATATAACGACACTGTACCTTCCACCATAATCTCAACGACAAAATTTTGGCCTGAAAGCTCTGTTCAAAGTCCGACCAAGCCTTGGCGAGCATGTCGGCTAAAAAACAAAGAAGAAATTCAAAGAAAGCTCGGCTGGTTTCAGGTGAGCTCAGGACCAGTTTGGGTGTTACCCCCTTTGTTAACCTCAAAGAAGGTATCATGACCCACGCTCACACTGAAGTGGCAAAAATAGCTAATGCGCAGTTTTTTTTTAATGCAGCCGTGGCATTTGTGATTTTTGGCATCTTTGTAGGCTATTATTAGTCAGACGAAATTAATAGTTAATATTAATAGTTTCTTTAATAGCACTCGCAGTTACCACGCGTAGCCACTAGGTGTCCCTAAGTCCCTGCTATGTAACAGCCGTATGAGCCAAAACTCAATCTGGTGACAGAGGTAAAGCAAATGTAGTGGAGAATAAATTCAGGACGTTGTTTTGTGTTTAAATAACTTACACAAGGATGATAAAACTTGTTATAGTTTATGTCATTAACTTACATGAGTAAAATTTAGACTGGACTGGAGCTCAGTCCAGTCAAAACATCTGCTCTCACCTGCAAATCACCATTTCAAATACCTGAATAGTAACTCACAATGAGTGCACCTTCATCAGCATGGAAGAAATGTTAAGATCAAAACCCAGCTAACCGAATGCTACACAGCATTTTTTTCCTATAATTTCTTTGAGAATAATTCACAAAACAAATATGACGTCCTTCAGAAAGAAGGAGAAAAACAAGTGTTTCGTGTTACAGAGTCCACTCATTGCTTAGGGAAGCTGTGACCTGGCTATCAACACCCTTAGCTGTCTCAGCGGTGAGCTGGGGTTGTAGCCATAACATCACTGCTCGAGCTGTATAACTGCACAGAGATGTTGCCTGGATGCTCTGGCCTGCGTCTGTCTGTGTCAGTATGGCGGTAAACCAGCAGACACATTCCTGGGTCCTGCATTATTATAGTCTCCATTTCATTTCTACTTAAATAGACAGGGGCCTCTTCTCTCTTTCCACTTGTTATTGTACTGCAGAGAGTGGTCTGAAGTGACCATGAAGAGACTCCCCTCCCTTTATATCTTCCACATTCTCACACCATAGCTTCCTCTATGCTTCCCCTACAATTTGTCACCCTAGCTGTCTCATCCATTGCAAGTAACTCCCTTGTGTTAGACCCCTCAAAAGCATCACCCTTTAACATTTCAATAAAATCTGATGAATTAAGTGAAACATTTCAACACAATTCACACTCAACTCATTTCTGTGTTGAGGGAAAAAGCCTCAGCATGCCACTTTAGGGTGATTTAAAGAGGCATTTTGCTGAAGCTGAGTTTTGGTGGAAGTGAGGTAATATTGCATGCGACTCATGTCAAAGGCCTGAAGGATTCACGGGAATGTAGATTGGTCACACCATTGTAGCGCTCAATCTCCCATCATGATCCATGCTGAGAATTGTCATGGCACTTAACTAATGTCCTACCCCTCCCACCCAGAAACTGTGTGTGTGTGTGTGTGTGTGTGTGTGTGTGTGTGTGTGTGTGTGTGTGTGTGTGAGGAAGAGGAATGAGAGAGGGGGGACACAGAGTGGCTATTATTTAACAGGGGAATCTCACACAGTGTAAAGGGGGAGGGGTGCAGGGCTGGAAATGATATCAGATTCTAGCTTGCTCAGTTTGATGGAGCTCCATGTCCCTCCCTCTGCTGTAGGTGGTAACGGCCCAGTTGCCCTGCTGCTGATCACCACTTCAGTTTAAATCTTGCTACATGTGCACATTGGGTCATTATAGTTCTAAATGCAGTATTGAATGGCAGTAAATGAGGATCTGGTGTGAAAGGATTTTCCTCTGTGCGGCACATGTATCCGTTCAGGTATGCACACAAATAAAGAAGCTAGTGACAAAGAACAAAAGAAATAAAATACTCCATTCATCCATGTATTCAATCTTCCATCTTATATAAATGCTGACAGCAAGGTCAAGGTTTTCTTGTTTGGTACAACAACAAGTTGCCATTGGACCATAAATCTGTAAAATATGATTTGCTCACTTGCCTCAGTTGACTATGCACCTAATCCATCTGACCTTTGAGAAGGTACATGAGTGGTATGTGCCACTGAGGGACTGACATTAACTTGTATGTGTGTTTGTGTGTGTGTGTGTGTGTGTGTGTGTGTGTGTGTGTGTGTGTGTGTGTGTGTGTGTGCAAAGACAGGAAAGCAATCCTTAGTTTACGCCTGTGGTGATTGCATTTATACATCTGCCATAGCTAATAGGTGCCAGATCAATTTTCCTCTAGCAGCACATTCAGTGAGGAACAAGAGTCTACAGCTAGCAGCTCTGTGAGGCAGGGCTTTGAGCTAAATGCTAACTCTAACGCACTCACAGTGACAATGATAACATGCCGATATTTAACATAATATTCAGTTTACCGTGTTTATCATCTTAGATTGTAATGTTAGCATGCTAGCATATACTAATTAGCACTTAACACAAAGTAAAGCTGAGCCTGATTGTAGTAGTCTAGCTATTTGGCTATAACCATAAATTCTGAGCAAATAAAAAATATAACCTGATGATCTTGCAAAATAAAAAGCTCAGGAAGCAATCACCAAAATTACTACAATTTATCCTGAGGGCATGATGAATGTCTGTATCAGATTTCATGGGAATACATCCATTGTTGAGCCATTTCACTCAGCCCATCGGTATGTCAAAGTCCTAGTGGCGCTAGAAGGAAAGTCAGGGGGATCATCAAAGTCTTTAGGATTTATCCCCTGGGGAACATGAATGGCTGTACAACATTTCATCCCATACTTGGCGAGATACTCTGATCTTGACAAAAGAGGTGGACTGACCGACAGACATAACTTGCCATCCATAGAATCATGCTGCTAGTGTGGCTAAAAAGGAAGAGCTTGATGGTGTCGATTCAGATTGTGTGTGTGTGTGTGTGTGTGTGATGGAGAGAAATTGTGGTTGTTGTCATATGTCACTGTGAAATATAATGGGCCTGTAGCTGAGGCTTTTGATTTCACCACCTCCTGCCAAGGCTGAGGCCAGTGACATTCCTCACATTGCACAGTGTATGTATCAAACTCACACAGACTGAATGACTGCATACACTTCATTTTTAAGTCAGTTAAATCTGATAGCTACTTACTGCTTGAGAGAAGGACCAGGATCGTATATGTGGCTGATTATACCTGTAAGAATAGAATACATAGACATTGCAAGTCAACACATTAATGGTTTAAAACAATCCACTTAAGTTGATGTCAGTACTTTACCGTAATGTTGTCTTGTACACTACTTTAGATCAGACAAAAGTGTCTCTAGAAATTTTCCAACACATACTTACTGCTTCCCAGTTCATTCGCAACCATTCATTATCTTTATCTAAGTTCCAATCTGGCTTACATTGATTTGGCCTGAACAAAACAGATCCCATGACGAGTGTTTAAGGTTGGAATTTAGTTGGTGTGTCAGTGGTTCTGATAATACATTTGGCAACCAGCCCCAGCAGCAGGGGCAGACAAGAAGCTAGTTCCCAATGCTCAAAATACTTGATTTACCTCAGCCGGGCCTCACCCTGCAATTTCACGTCATGAAATTGTCTCTGGCTAGTTTTTCCAGTCTTTCTATTGCTAACATTTCTTGTGTTCTCCTCCTCCTGTCGTCCATAAATTTTCATGTCTTTGTCGCCTCCTTAAATTACTAGTTTGCTAGAGGAGATGCAGATTTTTTTCCCTTTTTTTTTTTTTTGCAGGTGTTTTGCAACTTCAAATGCTTGTGTAGATATGTTCTGCCTACCACTTAAACAGAATGGCTCCCACATTTTTTTTTATAGTTTTGATAAATGACATAGAGATGAAATTGATGCACCATCACATTTTATGCTTTGTCATCAGGAAACGGGTTTGTTTTTACAGATTACCGAGCCAAAATTAAAATGACACTTGATTAAATCCACCGTCAATCAAATTCTCATGCTCAAAAACCCCCACCAACGATGAGTCAACTGCTTATCTGCCAGATTTACTATAGCATGTTTCTATATATTCTAAATGTGAGTAATATGTTTTGATTGAGCGTGCAAAAGACCGGATGTGATGTGCCTGTGTGCGGCTCTTAGAATAGAACTGCCATGGAGGGTGGGGGCATTGTGCAAGGCGTTTAGTCATTGATCACGGTGTTAACGTGGCGAGTCACACCTCCTCAGGCCCTACATCCAAGACCAGAGGAGGTACATTTGTTCCAAGGATGGAGCAGCAATCCTCGGATGTCGTCATATTTTGCAGTGGGATGGAGTTATTTATGGTCGGAAGCGCAGGAGAATCGAGATTTGTCATAACGGTGACATTTCTAAAGATTCTCCAGAATGTGAAGGTGTCTTGGGGGTGGATGGCAAAGTATGGACACACGAGACGTAATGACGTCTAAAAAAACCTAGAAATATATCTACCCATTTAATAATAAGCTCTAAATTGATAAGCTGATTTAGCATTCAAAGCAGTGGTAACTCATTTTCATGATGACAAATGACCATCATTTATTAGCAGGGGTTTGATTGAGTTTAAATTTCTTAACTCTTAGTAGTTCAAGCATTGCCCCTCAGCTAAAAAAGCAAATAACAAGATTTTGAGCACATTTAACCACTGAAACAGATACATTTTGATTTTTTTAGTTCTAATTATATAAAGAAATTTAATATAAGGTAGGAGTGATACTTTTTCTAGGACAAGTTCAGTTCTACCCATGTTGCTGCAGTTCCCAATAGTCTCAAGCAAACATTGATTAAGGTTACTTGTATACCGTCACACTTGGATGGTAAAAACGGCTGTTTTTTTTTTACCTCAAACCTGTCTCCATATGTTTCTGTCCTGCATGAATCCCAGCCTGGTTGTCTATGGCATATTTTCCCTGATGATAAAAGCAGCCCACCTGCTGACCCTACACCCTGTGGCTTGTTTTAAAGAGATTCCACAGCCTGCTGTCACTCCCTGTAAGAAAATTAGACCCACCCTGCTCTTGTTTCTCAACTGACCTATAGACTATGCAACACTGTGTGTGTGTGTGTGTGGGAAGTGGAGATAGAGAGAGAGAGAGAGAGAGAGAGAGAGAGAGAGAGAGAGAGAGAGAGAGAGAGAGAGAGAGGAGAGAAACTCACCGGTTGAGGAAGTCACTGCTAGAGTGCCAGTCAGGTCCCTGTGATACATAAAGATCTATGTGTTAACGCATGTTGGAGATGGAGTCTTTCTGCTGGTCTTCTTTCATCTTTTTGATCATAGTCAACATCCAACATGTGACTTTATGTGGTAACACTTAAATGTTAAATGTAAAACTGCAGCATCATCTCTTGCAGGCAATGAAATTTTAAGACACATTTAATAGCACACAATTTTGTGTTATGGCAAAATAGATCTCTTCTGCATAACAGGAAAAAAAAAGAAAGAGAACAAAACATTCATTACATTCACATAACTCTGTCTGTGATTTGTGATAAATTAACAAAAAAATTATTCCACATGCACAGTCCACCAATAATTCAGCATATCATTCCTGTGCAGGCATAACATGTTAGTGGTTAGCAAACTTAGCAGTGGGTTAAGCAGAGTGCAGGTAGTACTTAAGCAGACCACAGGTTTTCAGAAAGTGCAAATTAGTGAGGACCGCAGGCGACTATAGCTTGGCAAGCTTGGGCAGAGCAAGACATGGGGAAGAAGAGGTGGAGGAGAGATAAGAGAAGAGGCCCATCTCCATCAGTAAACTCATGCACAAAGAAGCCCAGGCAAAGGGAAAAGAGGTGAGGGTGGTGGGTTGTTGTCGACAGCAGTCAGATCTTCAGCTCCATGATGAAAGGTGCTGATCCTTGCCCGGCAAACACTTCTTCAAATCAATGAAAATGGCGAAAGCTGTCAGGTAAAGTAATCCTAAACTCACATTTAAATTTTTAAAGGGCAACATATGTGCAGGAATAAGGTTCCCTGATGGAAAACCTGCTTTGACCATATGGACCCCCAGCTGGAATTTAAAGTTCATCAAAGAGGTAAGTAGTTACATAATCATCACCATCTGAGACACATTGAAAAAGGTAACTTGACATTAAATATCCTGTTTCACTGCAAGCTTAAAAAACAGAAGCAGGGTTCACCTCAAAGGTCAAAGCAGGTTAGAAAGACGGCCGGCTGCAGCTCTCAGTTCAAGTTGATAACTAAAGCTGCCCATCAATTAAAACTAGAATAAAAGTTCAGCAGTGTAGTTTTCATAAAAATAAATCATTACCCCACATGCTACATTATAGTTACACTTAGAGCAGTAATTCCACACCCAATGGTAAAATAAAGACAATACAAAAGATCACTGAAGTAACTGCAATTTTTAATAAACGCTATTCAAATCTTACAAAAAGGCAGATAAAGCAACAACAAACACTTCTTCCCTGTATTGTCTTATATAATACTGTCATTCTGTCTCTTGTGATGTGTGGTCTTTCCATAGCATGAGCTAATAGAAGGCCATTTGACCTGTGTTTCCTAAAGGACTGGTTCAAAACACTGGCTTTAAAAGACCAGTTATTACCGTCAACCAGCTGTATATATAGGCCCCTTTAGATGGGTAATTGCAGAGTTTACTGTGCATAGCTGTAAAACCAGCACAAATACTGTATTTGCTAGTGACAAGATATAAAGATCCTTTTACCAACCAAAATAGCACTGTCAAGTCACTGTAAAGTGACTTTAAAAATCTTTCTGAAGAATATGCATAGCTTACAAGAGGCAACCATTGGCAGAGGGTAGTGTAACTAACTGATCACAAAAGTGTAATTTGAAAAAGAAAAAATAACATGTATAGCAAAAGCACAGTTTCACTAACAAAATATGCTGTTTGTTTCACTTAGTTTTATTTTTATAATTTATTTACGCAAATAAAATCAAAATAAGCAAATAGCTGAAATGATATCAGGCATGTTTTCTGAAGTATTAAATAATGGTACCAGAGAGCATTTAAACTAAACATGACATAACTTAATATGTACAGAGGAGTCAAGAAACAGCACACAAGGCCAAAGTGTCCTAAACCTGAACAAACTGTATCCTCTTGAGGCAGAGAAGGGACTTGTAGTCAGAGACGAGGAGGATTGTGGGCAGTGTTAAAGGGGTGATGATATAATGTAGTGAGTACTACAGAAGCAAGTTTGGTTGAGGAGTAGTAGTTGGTAGTAGTAGTAACGCCAGGGAAATATGGAGGTTGGGGAGAGAGGAGTGTGAGAAAGCCCGAAGCTGCCAAAAAAACAGCTGGACGTTAAAAATCAAAGGCACTGAGGAAGGACACAAGACAGGAACAGGAAGCCCTGGACAGGAAGCGCATCATCAGTGAGTCAATAGCTTAAGCCGCGTGATCCAACTGACCAGTAGTGAGCGTTCTGCTGTCGTGCGCTTGGAGACGGGGGCTATGGGGGCCTTCTTCATGTCCTCCTGGTAAGGGATGGTAGCGCTGTTGTGGAGGTCTGAGTTGGAGTAGTAACGGCTGCCCCGGATGTGATCCACTCTGACCAGGTGACGTTCCCCCGCAGGCCTGTAGGGGGGGGACACTGAGGGCACCTCCTCTGCTATGGTGGGAATCCTCTCATTGCTCAAGTATCTGTACAGCAGGTCTTCACCTAAAACAAAGACACAATGACAAGTTTATGAATATACTATACTGATAGCATCCTTGTCAAACCACAGAGGATGGCAGCATGTGTGTACATACCTTTCCTTCCCTGTGCCCAGGGCTTGGCGTAGGGATCTACCACTCCAACACAAGTATCCGCTGGCATGGACAGAGGCCGGGGCTTTCCTAGAAGTAAAAAATAATGAATATTCACGAATGATGTTATTTTATGACTATTTATTTAATATCCATCAGCGGAATATTCATAAGATACCCTGATGAGAAAATACTGACCACGCGAAGGCTTGTGCTCTCTCATTCTGGGCTGTATCACATTAGCCGTGATGGGACAGCCGATGCTTAGCTTGTCATAATCTGCGATGGTGCAGCGTCTCCTGCTCTCCTGGTCCAGAAAGGAGTTGGGTGACTCAGAGCCCTTTGGTCTTTTACTAATGCTGGAGAAGGAGTCTGTTCTCCCCTCTCTGCAGGGAGAAACACATGCTCATTTATTTATGTTGCGAGCCTCGGTGTAAAGTCAATTAAATAAATATGACAAGGCGTCTAATTTCTTTTTAGAAATTCAGTTCTCTAGCATTTTAAGTGAAGTGGTCACGTTCCATCATCTTCCTGGAGGTGGAAGATGAAGCAGCTGTTGCATAAGGACTCTGGTGGTACTGGTGGGAGCAGAGTGGGCAAGCAGAACAGAATGTACAGTAGGAGGGGAATGAAGTAAGGCAATCACGGGCCCAGGACACACTCATTATCCACCAGCCTCAAAGGTCTGGGTGAGGAGGTGTAGCAAAGGTTGACTGGATTGTTTACTGAGGGGTGGAGGTTGGCCTCCTTCATTCTTATCATTAGTTCTTAAAGTTGTTTCGTAGCTTATATTTAGTGCTTTAATTTTTATAACCCAACTCATTGAATAAAACTTCATCTCCTTTAATAAGCTCTGCAAATGAAATGGGACAGCTCACCGTGGGGTGTATGGTACTGGAGGGGGAGGGGGGATGTACAAGTCCAGGATAGCTGGCTTCTCTTTTTTGGTTGTTCCGTTAGCTGAGCCGCAGGGAGACTGGGCTCTGATCAAGGAGGAATTGTTCTGGAAAACACAGCGTCATTAATAAGTCAAAACGTTCAACATCACATACAATAAAGAATCAGTGATTGAGGGTTTTCTGTTATCTTAGTTATGCTTCTGTATATAGATACATATTTGAGTTTCCTGTTGAGAACAAATTCAAATCAAATTAAGTCACTGCTTGCCGTTTTCTACAGTGTGAATATAATATAAATATGACTTGCTGGCAAATGGGAGGAGTTCACCAGCAGTGGTGAGACATTCAAGTGCTTGTGTGTGTCTCCCCCCCGAGTATAAACCTTCTTGTTTGAGGTACGGAAAGATTGTAAGTGAAGTCCAAAATAGCTTGTGAGACATGTACTTAAAACTGCACTCATTTACCGCAGTTATGTTTCCCAACACTCAACGACACTGTGCCCTTAACTCAGCGGACCACTCTTCTTCCCTGTCTCATTCTCATTCCTCATCAGACCGAAATGATACATCAGATAGTACAGTGCAGTAGATGTCATATATTAATGACAAACTAAACATCTGATCTGGGATCTTATGAATCATTCCCTCCTTGTCTACTCCAAATAGTTCTCTTGTGTACAAATTATATAGTATTACAAAGCCAGCACCATTCAATCTTGAATCATGGTGTGTGATTTGTCTCTGTTTTGCCTTCTGGGGCGTTATTATCACAGATAAACTGAGATGGTTAACTGTGATACCTCGTTCTACTTGTTAAAACAAGATGCTGGTGGACATGTTGACATTGGCCACCCTTCTGCTGAGAGGCTCTTTGTTGTTGTTGAGAAACCCACTCTTATCTGATATCCTCTCATCTTGCTTTCTGAGGCTATAAAACCAAAAACACGCATGCTACGCATGATAAGACAATGCCAGAGCCTGAATTTTGGTAGTCTAAGCTTACAATGATCTTATTGTCTCCCTGTCAAAGGGGACTCAGGTGCGGAGACGTGGTTAAAAGCTAAGCCAAGCCTAATGTGTCCACATGAGGGAGAACGGCAAATTGGATTACAGTCACATAATCGTATTAGCACAATATTTATCAGCTACCCCTGGGTCTTCTTTGAACAATAGACATTTGGGGTGTTTTCTCTTGAAAATAGTAACAGTAAACACAAATAACACTGAGTGCTATTGTCTTCTTTAGATGGCAACATCTGGAGCGTTTGTTTCTAATAAACCAGATACAATCTAACCAGACTCAAACACTATACACTGGCAGCTTTATCTCCCAGACTGAATGACATCATCAGACAGAGTTTGTTTGCCTCTGATACTGCGTCTGACGAAAACCTCAATGTTGTATTCAACTGAGCCAGTAGCACTTTCAGGGTGGCTCCGGGACACTTGTCCAAACTTGTTGTTTTGGAACCAACAACCTGAAAATCTGATAATTGGTTGACAATGACACAGGCTTTTGTTGACTTTCAAGGATGAAAGGAGCAAGAGTGTGTGCTTGTGGGCATGTGTGTGTGTACCTGAGGTACAGGGGGCTTCCAGCGCATGTTCTTGAGCGGGGCGGGGGTGAAACCTGTTGTGCCAGTGGGCCTCTTCTTGAGGAGGAGAACCACACCTTTGGGGTCCTCCCTCAGTTTGACAACCAGGTTTTTCAGCTGCCAGCCCACCTGGTTAACAGGACGTGAACACACACAGACATATACACAGTCAATTTCAATAATATTTATTGCGTGTGTGCACTATGTGTGTTCAAATATGTAGATAGGGTATCTAAAAAAAGTGGAGGTTCTCACCACTGTCTGCTGGTTAACCTGGATCACCTCATCACCTGCATGGATCTTCCTGGTCAGGTCTGCAGGTGACTAAAAGAGCAAACATGCACTTATAAGGTCAAAAACAATGTTTATACATCAATGAACCTGCTGCCAACACAAAACTGATTATCATAAATTAGAAGCTACTTTGTGCCTGATTACAACTGTTTCCGCGTTTGCATTCCCATTCAAAGAGCAAATATCTGAAGAACAAACACTCCAAGTTCAAAATCGTGAGAAAATCCACACGACTCTCTGTTGATGAATATCAGTTCCATTGTTTTTCATGTCACACAGATGTCAAACAAGATTAACTAGTCATTAATGCTGATGATTCAGGTCCTGATTCACAATTAAGGACCGGAGGCGAGAGGATCCAACCGTGGCAGTGATGCTGCTGCATTAGTCACTGACTGGTTGTCTCAGTGTGGGGGGGTGTGAGGTGGTGGTGGGGGCATAGGACTTCTTTTTGTGGATGCTGTTTGTGATATGTAGTGGTTACTGGAGTTCAGAAACAAACAATTCCCTTTACAGATGAGTAGTTCTTCACTCCCTCAGATACAGTAACTCAGTGTGCCCTCAATTTAGGAGGAGGAGAATGAAAAGGAAGATGATGAGGAGGACGAGGAGGATGAGAGTGAAGGGTTTAAAAAAAAAAAAAAAAGTGAGAGTTGACCATATGCATGAGACATTAAAATAGCAACACAAATTAGCAGTAAATGCTTTATTCGGTGATAAGACTCTGATTAAATAAATTCAGGCATGGAAAGGGTCTGAATGTATTCTTGTGGTAAACATTTTGTTATACTTACATGCTCTGTGGTTCCCGTGATGACATGTAACCCATCGTAAGTAGACTTGATGTACATCCCCTGGGCAAAAAAAAAACAAAAAAAAAAACAAAACACACGACAACCTTATGGTCAAAATCCAATATTCCCAGAGGGAGACGATTGTATGACAGAGATATGAGGGTCACAATTTGACACACATTGCATGCATTCCTGGTCAGAGACAGCAAGTTTAGGATTGAAAAAAAAAAAAAAAAAAAAAAAGAGAAATCCCAGCATTCCTTACCAAACCCTCTCCAGGCTTGATATTGGTCAGCTGGACTTCTTCCAAGCAGGCCGACTGGCTCATCAGGGGGTCAGAGGTGGTTCTCACGGTCTGATCACAGATGCTGTTCAAAATCTTCGACTGCAGAGGAAAAGGAAAAACAAAATGCATCCATGAATAAAAGAGGAAGCACAAGACTCCAGCAAACTTTTGATTATAAGTGAAGTGTGAAATCCTCTAATGGTGTATGGTGCCCTTGATAACCAGTAGAGGTATTGTGTGCTTTACATGTTTGAACAAGTCAGGTTACACTACTACTTACCTTATCTTTCATCAGTTTGTTGTCTTACTACCTGTGTACATGGCTCTGTGTTTGTATATTTGTGTTTAGTGTAAGGCTTAATGGGCTAAAAGGGACCATTAGTGTGCTATTAACTAGATGTACCTGTGCACACACAACACTGAAATCAGTCCTGTGCACACACCCCTTCCCTCTGCTTTGTCCCTTGCTTGTTTTAGGACACAAACTGTAATTTGTCATAATTAGAGGGGTCTTTTCTGTGGCACATTGTGTACATTTTATGCGGAAGAACTCAGAAAATGGGGGAAATTAAGATGCAGCACAGGCTGGGAACAAAGAAAAGATCAAGACAATGCAAAACCTTACAAAGACAGCATCAGCTCTACTGTTGACTTGTCTGAGAGAGAGAGACAGAGTGCTAGAGGAAGCCCACTGTTAGCCTAAGGAGTCTGGAGAGTGTTAGCAACAGGAAACACTGATTGATGGCCGGGGTGTGTTAGTGCCGCCTCCTCCACTGGCAATCCTATAGACCTGTCTGCACTATTCACCCAGAAAACTGACCTTACTGCTGAGAGCATGTCACACAATCTCTATGTAAAAAGACATTTACCCAAAAAAAAGAAAAAAGAAAAAAAAGATCCTTTTCCCTTATACAGGAAATCCTGGGTCCTCTTTAGTTTACATTTTAGGGAAACAAAGAGAAGAGATAAAGTTTACTTACAACTTCGAGGATCTTCTCTTCCATCTCGTAAACACTGCAGTCCTGTATCAGAGAAGGCAGTGATGACAGATTAGACATGTGAGCAGTAAACAACAGTGAAGAGGAAGAGGTTATTCAATGGCTAGAGAGAGAAAAAGTATAGGGGTTGGGAAAATACGATATAATCAGCATTCCCGATATAGAACTGAGAAAAATGGAGAGGAGCCACAAATAAACAGCTTTTAGTTTCAAATGACCTCTTTGCCTAAATTCTGGGGATGCTATAATTGCATAATGCCCTGTGTGTTTCAGAAAACTATATTGGAACCTAAAGACCATATGAACACTCATCATATAGTGATAATGTGCAGATGACGTGGTGAGAGAAAATGTGTAATGACATTCAGAAAGCCCTCATGCAAATAGTGCTTTAGTTTCCTGGGAGGCAGGGGTCTCTTCAAGTCAGACAAGACACAGTAGCTGTGATCTTGATGATTTGGGGGAGAGAAGCGCTGATAAAATGTGCAAGGTCAGCTGGATACTGAGTACTATCCTCAACTCAGGACGGGTAGACTGCAGCTGGACTGGACACAGCTGAGGCAACAGCCTCCTCTGACAACTGTGTTGTTGGTGGTGAGAGGGCCCGTGGTTAGGAAAGGGGGGTTCACAGTGTGTTATTTGTTGGGGGAGGGGAGGGGCTCTATGCTGGGAATGCCCCAAGGGAAGCCATCCATCAAAACACAGGTGAAATGCTTCTGTCAAAACCAGAGAGCACAGAAAGCCCTCGCAAGCCACAAGCCTTTGTCAAAGCAAAATAAAGGGAGACTGGTGTTGTGGCCCTCATAGTATTAGTGACATGCATAGGCATGTGCCATGTACAAAGCCTGCTCTGTTGCTCTTTATAAATCCATTGTGCAGGCAGCAAATGGGGGGTCGAGCAAGTTTTTCCATATTTCCATAGCGTGCACATTCCACTGGGCTAAAGGCGAGCGTCTGTTTTCAAATGCATTTGGCTTGTCATGCTGTTGGTTTGTTTGCATGGACAAGGTTTGCATGACAGTCTGTGGCCATGAGCGATGGCTTCCTATCAAGACAGAGTCCACCCTATGTTTCCTAAGAAGTTTTGCTTAAAGTACCACATCTCCCTTACTTTGGGGAAAAATGAAAACCCAACATAAACAATAAGTAGGAAACAGGACAATTATAATAGGTTTCATTTGACATACATTGGTCCCAAAATTATGTTTCCATAAAATATATTTTCTGAAGTCAGCCAAGAACACGTGGTGGTTTCAGAAAGAATTTGGCTATGCTTGCATAAACATGCAACTGCATACTTCTTTTACAGACTGGACCATGTTTGGATGACTACACTGTTGACTGAGCCAAGAGGGATGAGCTAAAAATACATATTTTGATGTTTAGAGGTCATGAAACAGAACAGTACCATTATGTGCTGTAGACATGGCTTGGCACATTTCCCATCAAGCTTTAACATTTACAGAATATTTCTCTCCTGGTTTCATAGTACCATCAAATCATGTGAAAACAATATCACAGATAATCCCTCTAAGATCTGTTTGTGATATCCAAAATAATCCCATATCTTTGCAAAAACCAAAGTCCTTCTAGTAGACAGGAGCCAGATCATAACTAAGCACTGAGAGAGGCTGAGGGACAATTCCCTGGGTGTACTGATCCTGCACGTTATGGACTTGATCCCACAGCCGGTGTGGATCAGATGACTCTCTGTGTGCAGCTCTCCGGGCCTTTGATCTGCCACCAGAGCGGATTTGCATGGTCGAGCAATGAAGTGGCCGACAGAAAAGAGTGCTGGCACAGTGCGGGAACCTGGAGAGTAGCTGCCTTTACACTGGAGTGAAATAAAGGACGTGGACTGCAATACTTAATACCTGGCCTTCCAACATCCTGTTATTCATACAGTATCAATATAGGGTGGATATATTTGTTAAAGTGCAGTGTTTGGCCTTCATAATGGAATCTCTGCCTGTTTTTCTACTAAAAATAGAGAGAAATAAACTACATATTTCATCCAAAAACTCAGGAGTGGGAAGCACGGACAAAAGACACGGGGGATCGATGAAAAATGTGTTCTTTGAAAGAGAATGACCTCCACACAGACAGGTCAGCCAAGATGGGTGATGCGTTCACAGTTTTATGGCCGTGTCCCATTGTGTTTGTACACACAGGCTTCATTCAAGCAGAACACATAAACTGTGTGATCTGAAAAGCCCTAATTCTTGGCTGAAGTTCATGAACGAGCTGGGCAAACCTCACGCTGTCCTCCCCCATCATAAAACTAATCACTGAGGCAGTCTCCTGTACAACCTATTTTAGTGGCTCATATGCTTGCGTATTATATATTTAAAAAAAAAACAAAGGTCCAAAGAAATGAAAAACAGAGCCCAGAATTTCACAGCTTGGTGTGAAAGTTCAGATTCTTAAATGATGAAGCGAGTTGGAAATAAGCCTCTCTCTCTTTTGCGTTTCTGCAGCTCTGTACAATTATAGTCAACAATGAGTAGATTTAAAACTAACAGGGGACCAACCTACACCTCCCTTCCAGCTGTTGGAGGAAACTAATCGCTCTGGTCTTACAAGACTCTTTCAGCACCTATCAGGAGTTTACTCTACACCATAACCTCTCTACTTCACATGGCAGTGTGGGAAATGTATACCCCCCCCCTCTCCTGGATGACCATGACCGAGACACCCACAGTAAATCACCAGAAGCACTGAAATCCCAGACTCTGGCGAGGAAATAGGCACTCTGGGAAAGGAATTTATTTTGATGCAATAACCCTCCAAAAACGACACCTGCAGTCTCAGCAGCCACTTTCACTGGAACTGTAAACCTAGTTGCTTATTGAGCTGCGCTTAGGACAAAACCTTTGCGAGGAAGAAATTATACATACAAACTAATGGATTTGATACTGAAGGAAAAGCCGCTCACCAGCTGCCTTTGTTTAATACATATGTATGACCAACCATGGTGGGTTGCATGAGACAGACAGAAGTAGACACCCAGTTGTGCCATGATGCAACGCTAGAGCAATTCTCTGCAGAAAGTTCTGGAGTATAGTGGATGCTTGCTGATGCTCTGTTTTAAGCGTTAGCCATCTCTCTGGCAGTCAGATAGACCTCCTCCTCATCCCTGCATTAAACCTACACACAGGAAGTGCTTTCAGACAGTTTGGTCTCTCACTGTGAGCATCTTGGAGAAGCAAAAACAGGAACCACATGGCTGAGGGAGAATGGCAGCCTGGGGAATGTTGGCAGGCACCTTTAAAAGCATGCCAGCGGGTTTTATGAAACTGGAAACACAAAAGCGACGTTTACCATTTACGTTAAACGTCCCCGCACGAAGGGGGTCTCTTTATTAGCCAGCGTGAGGAGGAAAAGATCCCAAGAAAAACATCAGCATTTGCAATAATGTGCTCAGACTGCTGGCTTTAGGTTCATGTCATGGCTGCCAGACCACATTTCCCATAACTCCCCTCTCCTACACTTTATCCTGCATGTCTGTGCCCCCGAGCTGGTATGTGCTCAGTGGAAAAAGCTATTGTGTGTGTGTGTGTGTGTGTGTGTGTTTCCTTGAGGCTAGCTACATGTGTGCTGTTGAACTAACTAGCATGCAGACCTGTTGAACTGTGGTGGTGAGCTCCAGGCACAGCTGAATGATCTTGTTCTTGGTGGCTGTGAAGTCACTGATCCCTGTAAGAGGCGTCCTGCAAGCAGACAAAGAAGGAAAGGGAGAACATTAGGGACCACTGATGGGCTGCAGAGTTCAGTTGAAGTTTGAAATGCATGACTGCACAATCTTAAATTCTATTTTTTAAGAGCAACAATGTTTGATAATAATATCCAAAGTAATCAAGTCCTTCAGTCATAAAAATGCTAAAAACAGAAAACAGTGGATGTGTATGGCTGAAGTAACTCAGTAACTTGAAGTCAGATAAAACACAGCAGACTCAGTGACCTTGCTCTGATTACTGTGTTTGGGTGACTGGCCACAGACAGACTTGGTTATAACTGCAAAATGTCACCGTTCTGGTGCCATTTTGTTTCTTCTTCTCTCCTGACTCCATCTAAAAACATATGAACTCCAAAACAGCTTCCCAAACATCAGGCCCCAAACCTCCATGCAATCACTGAAATATGTCAGTGGCCAGACTCGTCATATTAGATTAGATCTGAGTAAAACCTGCTTTATCCAGAAGCAAAGGATTCCTAAACCTTGCCTGTATACCAGAACTTGTTGCTTACCTGGTGACTAGACAACAACACATGCAGAACTGCATACAAATGTATTAATGTTATTGAAAATACACAGGTAGGTGTATTTCTATGGTATGAGACCACCAGCTGCCATAATACTAAGTCCAAGATGTTTTGTTTGTTAAGACTGTGGGATGCTGTAAAAATGCTAATATATAAATATATTAGCATTTGATATTAACATTGTTTTGAGAGACAGGTACTAAAATAAGGGGAAAATCAGTAAACAGTATTGACACATAATGATCTAAAAACTGAACAATTACTATAACATTTAATGACAACAGTGACTTTATGTTGTCATCTGGGCACTGAGTCAACATTTAGCACAGCACCATTAAAGACTGTTGTACTGCTCTCATCTCAGCATCACAACTACCATTTATAATCATGATGTCACCATACGCAAGCCTGCCACAAAAAGAGAAGCTTAATTTCAGCCAGCTAACACTTAATCCTGGCAACCTGCTTAATATGCTCTGCTTTTATGGTGTAATGTGTTTTGGAGCAGGTCATGGAGAGAGCAGAGGGGATATAGACATTCAGAAATGAACATATCTGCTTGGCCATCATGTCAAAATAAAGAATGACTTATTTCATCTGCCTGCAGTCTAGATTCAGTGCTGTATGAGGACCAAATGTCATACTCACATATTGTCAAATTATGTTTTTATGCAAAACCAGTGTGATATCTGCTTTTGTATGTAGCCAGTTTAAGCAGTGGTCTTATGGCACCCCATCTGATATCTGATCTGATTCACAGTGTGCAGGTATTTGGTGGCGATAAAGTCTTATTACCTGTCAAGCCAAGCCAGGAGGCTCTTTGCAGCTCCAATCAGCTCCACCACAGAAGTAAGGAAGTCGTTGGGTGGCTTGCGAGACATGCTGCTTTCATATGCTGGGCTTTTTCTGCGATCAGACGTGGCCATGTGGAGACTGTTGGTGGCAGCTCTCATCCTCACAACCAGATTCTTCAAGTTGTCCGTCTCTACGCCATAGTTCTGAAACAGTAGATGAATACACAACTTAAACTATGCACCACACTCACACCAATCAAACTCAAAATCAAAGCAAACAATCCTTTCACACTCTAGTCCTGGGAGGTACTTGCTTTTTTTTCCCCTCAGGAAAGCATGTTGCTTCCTGTACATTGAATGGCTCTCATCATTTTTTGACAGATGTGATTTAAATGCATTTGTCTGTGAGGACAGCATATGCATGAAATTCCCCTCAGTCTGCAGATTTGTTCGAGGGTGTACACATGCCATCACCTGATTCCTATCAAGCAGAGCAAAGTTTGCATTCTTGAGCTGGGGTTGTTTCCTGCTTTTGCATTCCTCTAGTTTATAGGTTATTCACATGCACAAAGCAGCAGAGCTCTGTGTCTTCAAGGGTCAGTAAGTACAGTACAGTACAGACCAGCTATGAACTGCACTACTGCAGGGTAGTGAGCTGCAACAGGATGCACATTTTTTCTTGGGGGGGGGGGGGTGACGTGTGTCTGAGGCTGAGTTTCACCACTTGTCAAATATTTTAAGGAGCTTGTTTTAAAGTCTTGTCAATGTTTTGATTGAGTAAATGGGTGTGTAGTGATGTGTTGCTTAAAGGTAAACAGAGGAATGGCGGCCTGGCTCTTGTCCTGGTAAATATCAACTTACATGGTGTTGCATCGCTGCCAGCGATGCTGCCATATGTGTGATATGCCAGCAGCTAAATATGCTTTGCAAGGAGTAAAAAAGTGTGTGTTTGGCAAACAACGAAGGAGATCTGCAAGTGGTTAGTGTCTACTTTTATTCCACTGCCTGTCTCCAACATGTGCTCTGAAAACATACAAATCATTTCACTCATTTTAATCCCCAAGGAATCACTGGAATAACCGGACTAGTGGAACAGTAGTTGTAGGCAGTTTTCCTCATGCCACACTCAACACATGAAATAGATGGTTGAAACATCACAAAAGAGAAGCAAACATCATCAGAGAATATATGGCAAAAAATAGGCAAAGAAGTCATTTGATGGTTTGCTTTCTCATTGAGCCCTTCACACAGTCCAAAAGTGGAACTTTGGCACACAGGCAGTGTGAGTATTTTCCAGATCAAACGTGTCTCCTGGCTTTTTCATTAGCAGGCTAATCACACAGTCACAGCAGCTCTGACTGGCCCACAGATGTCCAGTGAGCCTTTGTCCCACACTGCCAGCTGAGCTAAAACCCACGTCTGAGCAAAAATCTGTGGTTCCAATCAAATACAATATTTCATTCTCAGCAACATTTCAGGCCAAATTTACATTCTTTCAGTGCCTTTTTATAGACTTTCTGTTAATCTATAATCAAGATGGCAGAAGCTTTTTTTGTGTAGACTCTACTTGGGGCTCTTTAAAGGGAACTATATACTGATATAAGTGTCCTCAGGAGAAATGGAGGCCGGCTATCACAACACAGCACATCCTGCCCTTGCCACAGGCATTACATGGATCTGACTTGACTATAAAAGATACAACTTTCTGTAGCCTGGTAGGAGCGTGTGTGATGGTGTGAGTGTGTGTGTCTGTTGCTAGATTGTGCCATCTAAGGCTGAGTGTTACATTACACCCTAGGCAATAGTAAAATACATTTACAGCTGCTCTGCGGCCAGATGATCTGTCATATACTGTATGTTCAATGGCCGTTGGACACAGCTAATATGTGTGTGAATATCATGAGGCGCTCGTCTCTCAGTGGGCCACTAGAGTCTGAGAACAAATAAAGAAGTGTTGGGTTTCAACACTGACTCTGCAGAAGGCATCACGGCCTTCCAGTAAAATTAATTGAAATGTTCTTTCTTTGTCCCTCGACAGCAGTTTGGTCTTGAAAGATTTTAGGTGGAAGAGAATCATGAGTATAAATGCATCCTAAAGGGCTGTGGGGTTCTACATCAGGCCATTGGTCATCATGATTTAGGTCATGAAGGTGTTATGATGGTGAAATCTTTATTTTGTGCACACATGAATAAATATTTAAAATTCAAGGGCAAAAAAGAAAACAAAGATTATCAACAGGACGTGTCTGAGCTAACAGTAAACCAAAAGAGACAAAGTGGGGGGTGTCTTAAGAGTGTGGTGGATTTCGGGTGCTGGTGGCCTGTGTTTCTGTTGGTAGCAGTGACCTTGCCACAGTTACAGCTAATTGACTCGGGGGCCTCACTTCCTCCCAAGGGGCCTGTGGAAGGTTGAAGCCTCATTCTTAATAAGGAAACCCCTAACAGACATAAAACATTAAGCCGCGCTGCTTCGATCAGAGGTGAAAGGTTGCTGAGAGTCCAACATTCCTGGCTCTTAGTTCCATGGAAAAGAGAGAGAGGGTGATTGTCCAATGTGCCAAATACTTCCTTACTAAATTGCATAAGACTATGCATTGCAAAGACACACAAACAAAGTATTACAAAGAAGAAAGAAGAAAAATGACTTCAAATAACAAAAGCAAGCTGAAGCAGCACTTTGGACGCCATGTTTATGAAGCAGCTCGAGGAGAAAATTACTTGAGATTTGACTGCGTTGATGCAAGGGTTCTAGGGTGGACAAAAGTCTGGGCCTGATTACTGTGATGGTAAAAGAGGTTATGGGCCACAGGATGTACCATATGGTATATATTCTATGATGAGTACATCTATCAAAACAAAAAAGGCAACCACATGTGCCAAGTGCTTCCATGTGTCCATTCCAATGGTTTGAGGTATGGAAGATACTGTGGTCAGGTAGTGGACAGGTTGCTTAGCTGAATGAGAAACAATGGGAGAAACAGAAGTGTGTATTGTTACAGTGAAAGTTAGGTCAAAGTGAGGAGAGATATCAAATCTGTGTCTGCTTTGCTCAGGATCTAAGAAAACCCATCCCTAGCTTCAGTGTGCCGAGATGGCAGATCACTGCCAAGTCAACATGTTTTCGAGGCCTAAAATGAGTTGATGTCACCTACAGCTTTCAGATCACCATCATCACAAGACGCAGCCTTGTGTGGGAGAGAAAAGGTTCAACTTCTAAGTTTCTCCAGAGTAAAAATAACCCTGCCCCAAACGATTAATGTAAAGCTTTTTAAGAGAGCATAAAGGGAGAAATGCTGACAGTGCGACCACAATCTGGGACTTTTATGGCACAGGAAGTGATAAAACTTCAAATCGATCCCATCTGCTTGAAAACCTGGTTCTCTTTCAGTTGGAGCATAGACAGTTTTCATCGCTCTTTTTATGCTCACTAGTTGAAGGCAGATACATTTTTGTTGGCAGTTCTTCTGGAGGCTGTCATGATGGACAGTGGGTCAGCTGGTTCGCTCCCACAGTGACTAATATGAGCCACACAGGGGACGTTTAATTGAACCAAGAGAGATGGCTCAGGTGAGCAGAAGTAAGAGTGAAACTGACGTTTCTGTCATTTTGCTTAAGACACTGGAGCCTAAAAAACAAATAGAGCTTTAAAATAAATGTGTTTTGTGTGTGAAGGAGAGTTTACATCTAAGGATCAAACTGTCACTCATTGCTACATGATAACCACCATTAACTGCCTCTAATAATCTCCCACAGCTTCAAACTGCCAAATCGCGCCCAGGGCCCCTCTGACCCGATCTCTCCTCTTCTGTGACACTGCTGTTCCCCAATGTCCTCGGGCTGCTTCATGTGTTGTGGTGCCTCCACACCCCACTGAGCTTTGTGGGGGTTTTGATGAGCCCTTATGCATCGTTGCTTCCTTTAGCTGCCCAACCAGAAACTACAGGCTACAGAGTTTTTAGTGAATACGGACACTGAGAGACAGAGAGAGAGGGTGGGGGGGTGATGACCAGAATAGGCCACGCTTGTTATAAAACATTTCTGAAGATACAATACAGTCACGTCCCACAATTATGTCATGCACACACACTCAGCAGCAAAGATGTACTGACCAGAGCACAGAGCAGGTCGACAGCCTCCAGCACCAGCTCCTGGTGTCCAATCCTGGCCACGCCGAGCTCCTCCAAGTCTTGATGTGTGATCTTCAGTAGCTGCTCCCCACTGATCTTCTCCCGCTCAAAGTTGCTCACATACTGCTGCAGGCTGTCATCCAAACCTGGACACACAAGATGAAACAGGCAAAGAGAGGGGGGACTCATTAGACAAACATTAAAAACACAACCAGCCTGCTGCTTTAGAAAAGTTCAGTTCAACTGTAATTTCTTAACTTCAGCTTAACTGCTGTATCTGTTTATTTAGCATGAGTCCTCATATTGTATGTAAATGTGTATGTATTCATAGTGAAGATAAGGAACAGGTGGGACTGCTATCTGTACTGCTAGCTTGACAAACACACCATGAACAGAGTAACGGTTGAGACCTCTAAGTCTGTTAGGCTGGTTAAACAATGGATGGCTATATTTGCGTGTGTGTGGATGTGGGTGTGGGTGTGGGTGTTTCAATAAACGTGCCAGTGTCAAGGGCGTCCCCTTGCTACTATTTGGAGCTGCAATAACAAATGAGTTGGACCGTTATGCTTCCAACGGCTCTGGAACATACAATGATTCAACTCATGTGAATATACTGTGTACTGTAGTGCACTGCAACAGGCTGTTCTGAAACACTGTAGAATGAGTTATGTACAATGCATTGCAATAAACAAACTCACAAACGTGCCCTCCCTATGCACGCGTTGTGTCCCTCAGCGGACCTTCAAGTAGTGTTTAGACAACAGAGTGAAGAACGAGCCTTTGTGTGCTCATGTGTGCGTCTAGCTGTGGGTGCACAAGTAAACGCCATCTCTCTCCCCATCAAAGAGTGCACAGAGAGGGGGCAGCTGCAGCTACATGGCCCTGCGCCCTGCTCCTCTGAAAGACCTGTCAGCTGCATGACACACTCGCTCACTCCAATCATACCCCGCACACACACACACACACACACACACACACACACACACACACACACACACACACACACACACACACACACCGCAAATAATATTCCTCAGCATGATATTTGGCGGATCCTTTTACAGTTTGATATTCAAGTTGCAAAGGCTTGAATTCTTTCTTTTTTCTTTTTTTTTTTTAGGAACATGAAACTTAACAGCAGATAACAGCATCCAAATAAAATGCAGAGCATGTAGTTATAAGTGAAGACACACTGGGTGGGTTTTTTGTCACAGAGCCATTTTTGTGAATGGCACCTGGTATATCTTCATGCCTCTGAGACACTTAGTCTGTGCATTTGTTGCAGAGAGTATGCATAAGGGAAAGACAGAGATAATGTGTGTGTGGTGGTACTCAATGCTGACCTAATGGGCTGTATACATAAGAAGCACACACTATATTTACTGCCTTACATGTGTATAACCTTTGCTGATAAATATTTATTATGCATTTATTACACAATGCAAAAAAACTAACACCAAAAAATAATACAGCACATATTCTACATCCTGCTTTGAACTGCTGACAAAAAAAAAAAATCACAGAACAGATTTTCTCTATCAGCTCCTTACTATTAGTAATGGCGTCCTAACATTTTCTGCCAAAGTTAGAACAGGTTGGGTTATTTCATATTAGAGATTTCTGTCTTTTTCTGTGCTGTTCTTGTTGTTGTGAAGTGGGAGGGGCTCAGTTAGAAAAACACAACGTCACATACTCCTGCCCACCAATCAGAAGAAATCTTTAAGTTAGCTTTCAAGGTTAGCTCAAACACTTTCTTGTACAGTACATGGATGCAGCTGCTACACAATAATAACGTACTTTATCAGACTTGTAAGATGGAAAGCTTTTACTTTGAAGCAGCTGCAGAAGTTTTCCGGTAAACCTGGAATGCTAAGTCGTTATTTGATAAAAGCTTGAGCAGAAGCCAAAGAGCAGAGCCAAGTTACTTGCTTCATGATTCCTTGATATTGTGTTATTGCAGCCCTTTGTGATAGGCTGATAGGAGAAATACACATAACAATGACACTACACATCAGAATATGCTGCATTGTGTTGCCCTAGGACTCAAGCTACCTACAGAGGACTCCCTTCAAAGCCATTAAAATTCCATTATGGCACCACAGTTCACTTACAACAGCATTTTCAACCCTTGAGAAAATATATGTGAGAGCTCAAGTCATCTCCACTGAATCAAAGGGAAAATCCATCATGACTTGTTAACCATTAGCCGCCACACAAGTCAAGTCCAGTTAGGCTCATTAGATTTTTCTCATTCCTCGGCATGCTAATTCCTAGGCACGACTTCAGAGAATTTTAAGCTTAACCCCTGACTGTCCAGGAGTCTGCAGAGGAATCCACTTCGAATTGTAAGAAAGGGACTAAGTGCTGGCCTGAGCCCACACTGCTGTGAACACAAGCCAAATACAAACACTAGGCTAGTCATTTAATGCGATTAGATGAAAACAAAGACGTGGATCCAGCAGGGGCAAAGTTTCTCCTTCCTGCTGTGTTAAAAAGGCATTTCCTGTGGAACAGTGCCATCGTCCTCACCAAACAGAAGAAGAAAGTGCACAAGGGAAACTTGTGGTTCAGCTTACAATAAAACATTGCTGAGGCTTTCATTGTGTGTTTTTCTGAGCTCAGTTGTTGTAAAACCACACAGACTAGATATGGGAAAACAGTCTTGAAAGAAACAGTAGGGGAATTAATCTGCACCCACTAATTGATGGATGAAGGGCCTTTCCTTTCCTCTAGACTGTTTTCACTTTTATTCATTCATTCATTGGCAAGTGTGCCCTCCCCACATATCCTATCCCTGATCTTAGAGTTTAGAAATTTCAGGTCACTTCAGGGTCAAAACTGATCTGCATTTGCATTGAAATGGAACGACTGTGAGTGTGTTTACTTGCGTCAGAGAGAGACACCTTCCATTTTAATGGTAGCAGTGATGGAGAATAAGGGTAGATGTGTGCTACAGAGGAAATACATTACTCTCCCACTAAATTCAGGGGCCCTCACAGGAACATACCACACAGCATTCTCTCTCTCTGGACTCAACCATCGACACCTTCGGAATAAAAGAGGGGTGTCCTTACAGTGAGGCTTATAAAACATTTATTGGGCCTTGATCAATGGCTGCTGCAGTGTGTGAATGTGTGAGTGAAACTATCAATTTTCATTAAGGGTAGAGAAAGCAGTAAAGGAGATAGAGTGTCACGTTATTGTGAATTGAGAGGAGGGGGAGGCAGTAGGGAGGACTGTGTGAATGCTTTTCAAAAGCCTTCACAGGATGAAACGCTTTGGAGGAGTTTTATGGCCTCTGTGAACCACTTGGCAAATGTCCTCAAACCAGAGAAAGTGGGTGTAACTGTGTAGACACACAGCATCAATGTCAACTCCAATCACATGGCCAGTAAGCTGGAAAAGCAGTCAGTGCCCCCAAAATATAATTTTAATAACAAATTCAATAAAGGCTTCAAACTGGACTTACATTTCAGTATGAATTAGCAATTCAACACCACACTACTACATGAAAGCTTGGTGCAACATAAAAAAAAATATTCTAAAGAGTTAATTTACAACTGGAGTTGGAGTTGGCAGTTTCTTGAATCATCATGAATTATTAGAATAATATAATCAAAGTACTGTATTATTTTAATAGTTAAAAATTAAATCCACACAACTGGATCCAGAGCTGAGTCAAAAGGATCAACTTCAACTGACAGACAATGAATTGCTTTCTATTTTGAAAACTGATTTGGTCATTTATCAAGCACAATGTGAGAATTTCCTGTCTTTCAGCAGTTTTTAATCACTGTAAATTTAATATTTTAGGATTAGGAACGTGTGATGGATTATTTGGACTTTTCAAACATTTATGGTCTAAATAAATTCCAGGAATTGAAGATGTTCCTGATAAAAATGCAAAAATGTTAAAAAAAAATGCAATGATAAGAATTATCGATATTCATGAAAAACATGCTACTTGTTCCTTGGCCCAGGCCTTACAGAATAGCAACAAACTGTGGTAATTTAATATAATCAAATTGATTATTAAACAATTTCTTACATATGGTTTAAAAAGATTGCCCCAGTATGAGAGAATCTGTCAGTGTTGCTCATCAATAACCAAACAGTGCAGGAGGTGATGCCAGTGTGTCCCAGTGTGGCACCTGTTGTTCACTGTGGGGTCTTTCTTACCACCCACCATCTCCCATTCAGTAAACAGTGATTATGTGGAGAGCAGGTTACCAACCCAACTGTTTCGGTGTATGTATGCATGGTTGTACACACAGCCATATTTCTGAACAGCTGGGAAAGCAAGAACCCTAGATATTCCAAGTCTGGATGCTACAAGTGGAACTGGACACTGTTGGAGGCCTTCGAGCTCTGCAGCCTACGTAAAGGCTGTGTAAGCACACATTTTTGGCAATGTAAACAACAGAACCCTTTTCCAAATGGCTGGGCTATTCTTGTCATAATCTCAACATTTTCACATCCGTACAGAAGCACAAAAACAGCAGATTGGGTTTAATGTGGCCAAGTACATCACAGCTCAAGATCATTTTTGTGTTTGTGATGAAAGAATTCATTAAAGAGCAGCACACGGGTTTGGATGTGACATTTTACATAAGTTCAATGTTCTGTTCTTTGAAAAATGTTGATCGGTTTCGAGCAACGGTGCCTTCAATGCATCTTTTGGTTGCCAACTTTTCGTTCTCAGGGGTTTGATTACACTAGAAAAAGAGCAAACACTCTTTCACCTCCTACAGAAAGAACGAAACCAGCTCCGTCCTCTTCACCTCCCCCATCTTTCAACCCCTTCCTGTGCTCCCCATGGGAGCTGTATCCACCCTGTAACAAACACACAAACACACACACACACACACACACACACACACAGGGACACACACAGGGACACACACAAACACAAACCAATATCCCCACTGGGGTGGCCAGTGGGAAAGCTACTGGGTGTAGAATAGCAAAGCCACTGTAACTCTGCTGTCCTTATTTGTCAGCCTGGGCTGTGGACCTGTGGGGAATGGGCAGGAATTTGACTCATTGTTCTCCACTGAGCAGCTCCATTGTGGGAATTCACAGCGCTCGGGCACAATGGTCTCTGGCTAGACCAGGCAGTGTTGTAATTAGAAAGAAAGAAAAAGCT